TCGAAACTCCACAATACTAGAACGTCTCAGCAAGACTAGTGAGATCATAAAAGGTATCAAGCAGAGAAAGCTGGAATATTTCGGACATGTAATGAGGGGTCCCAAATATAGGTTGCTACAAAATATCATGCAAGGAAAAATAGCAGGCAAACGCAGTCCAGGACGAAGAAGAACCTCATGGTTGAAGAACTTGCGAGATTGGTATGGTGTTGATACAGGCATGCTATTTAGTGTGGCAGTGAATAAAATTAAGATAGCTATGATGGTAACCAACGTTTTGAAAGGACATGGTACATGAAGAAGAAGATATTCTAAATCAAAATTGAACAACAACGGTGACAAGGGGCAATTTGTACCAAATGGCATCAATGTTCTGCTTCCTATCTTTACTTGCGCATATGAGTACATCATTATTCACAAATTGCTTCTTTTTATGGAATCATATGCTTGCTGAAAATCTATGAAAATTTGGTGCACATCGCAGTTGAATTCCCAGTTTTTTTCCAATATTTGTCGGATGGTAAATATCTGATCTATAGTTGACCTTTCAGCACGAAAGCCGCATTGGTAGTCGCCTAGAATATCTTCCGAATATGGTGTGAGTCTCTTTAGCAAGATAATTGATAGCACTAATGCTTCTTCTTGATGGATCTCATTCTCATCCGGTATTTATTGCATAAGTCCCTCGTTAATTTATTTTGCTTGGACTTAATTTAGTATGACTTATAAGAAAAATGTTAATTTTCGCTTCTGTAAAATTTATGAAATATCTGCCTAGTTTATGAGTATAATATTATCTTGAGACTGCAGGACACAGTTCGTGGGTAAAATTTGTCGCATACCACTTCACAAGGGTTCAAATGTTAAAACGCATTTTTCTTTATTGTTGTTTCGTTCAAAATATGCAAGTATCAATTTTAGTTTTAAATATTTCTGTTTACTAATTGCCTAAAAGTTTAAGCATCAAGCCTAATAATTATAACAAGTCCCTCTTTAAAAGAATAATTTTTAGTTTCAAGGTTCTATTTGTACAACCTGTATATTGTGTAATTACGGAGGAAAAAATAAAAAGCTTCAAAGATAATAAATAGAAGTTAATTACCTCGGAAAGCGTTTAAACACATATATACATCAACATAAAAATTTACTGCTTTAACCTTGGATATAATTATTTACTGCATTTTTTTATTTAACCATCAAAAATATGTACACACAGTCAAGGCGGTACTAACAAAACTAGAAGGGATATTTGGAACTACGAACTGATAACGGGAGTTACCGGGGATAATCACTAAGCCAATATGTTTTCAAATTATTCCAGAAACTCCCTTTTTACCTATTTCATTGTCAGTTTTTAAAATTTTAATAATTACTTAACAACTTGTTAAAATATTACGTACTTCTAGCAAAGTCAGTTTTGGAAATAACTTGGGTGGGAAGATAGTTTCCCACGGAGCTATTGCTGACTGGAAAAATGTAAATTCAAAAAAATGAGTAAAACGATACTTATTAAATATAAACTATTTGTTTTCGAATAAAAAAAGTGAATATAAGTAGAAAATAAATTAAACAAAAAAATAATTGGATTTGGAAATTGCTGCAAAGGTTTAAAAAGTTTATGTATCTCGTTTTCCGTAAAAATTTCTGAAGTATGGATCACTGGCAAGAGGGACGTCACAACTGGTACCCATATACCACTGGTTCTTTTTTGCATGGCTTTTTGACTGCAACATCTGCATCGTTTACAGGTACCACCTAGAGTGGGAAGGTGTTGACCATCGAGCAAAAAGACAAAAGAGGGAATCTAATCGTTATGAAGAGGAGACCAAAAAAGTGGCCTCTAATGGCGGACACTTATTAACAGTAGCTATAAAATAGTTTTCAGAAGGTGTCTTAGACGAGAAACTTTAAATAAATATTAACGATAACAGTCTAAAATGTGACACAATTGTTAAAAAACTTCAATAGAAATAAGCTTTCATGTGACAGTTGGGACAAACAATAACATAACCCAACTAAATTTGAATTATTAAACAAGGAAAGATTCTCTTTCCTCTTGACCTACTTCCGCTAGTTTGACAACTTCCGAAATTGTGCTAGAGGTTTCACAAGAAACACTGCAGGTCTTTTCCTTCGTTTTCTAAAGCAGTATCAACGAAAACTGACGAGCCAAACTGATCCTGAAAGATATTGATCCCTTGATTTCCTGACTATTTTAGATACAGAAAAGCAAAAATGAATTTACAACGGCCATATTAATCAAGAAATGCATAATTCTGTGCCATTATTTGACAGAGCTTTTGTCAACTTTATACGTTCCCGTTTAATGTCACAGTATTTTGAAAAATCTCGGGTAAACCTTTTTCATTCGTTCTAACTCTGCAAACGCCAAATATAACCTTTTTTGTGCAAACGGTTTAGTAATTTTACAGAGTTAAGAAAATGATCAAATGCCAAAATGTTCATTTGGTGTGAACATCCTTCGTGAGCTTTATAAAACTACCCTTTCGCCTAGACCGAATGCTGAATCTGGCTGATTTGCCGATGCTTTTTCAGTATATATATGCAAATTTTTAAAATTAAATATGTTTTTGAATCAGCCAAGCAACAAGCTTTATACCCCCTTTTGACTGGCTTTATTGGCATATACCGTTTTAGTGAGTCTTAGTGAATAATAACAACTATTATATATTTTTTTAATTTAAATTCAGTTGCTGGATTACAGGACTAACCTTATGCTGATTATCGTAATGAGGAACACTTCTATTTTTTAGACTTATTATCATTGAGGTGGAGCTACTTTTACTGGAGAAGTTTTTAAAATATTTTTACACCCCAAGTATTGGGTCTGAGCTTCTGAGACAGTTCGCATTGGACTGCAATTTCATTGCAGTCCAATGAAAGACTCTACTTCGTAAACGTATGTCCAATTTGTTGTATTTTTTTGCCTGGCGTATTGATTTGTTTCGGAAATCATAGTTGGTATTGCATTTGTTAAGCATTTATTAAAACAAATTCTTCTTTTTTTTTTAAATTGAATTAATGCCTCGACAACTATGATCATTGGCATGGTACAGTCAGGTACCTAGTGTAGTGTGTGTGTGTGTAGAGTTATTGTCTTGATACTTAGCAAAGTCGACGTCATTGTCTTTGCTAAGAGACGCTAATTGTATCCGAACGTCTGCGGTCCCTCCGGTGAGTACCGATCGCACATGGATAGAAATTATTTTCATTCATTAATTTTTAATAAACGAAAATTTCTCCACCCAGATGGGATTCGAACTCACGACCTTTAGGTTTAAAGGTAGGCGCTCTTACCACTGAGCCACAGAGGGGGTTTAGAGGCAATTTTAAAAGATGTTTGTAATGTTTGTTTTCTCCATTAAGGTCACGGTCAATATCCTTCTGGAAGTTCGAGATATTTTCATCCCATATATCCCAACTGAGTCTCTAGTAAACCAAAATCTTTTTGAAATGTTTTAGATTATACATCAACTCTAACTAATCTCTACTGTTATCCATTTATGCCAATTATTGGTCAGCGTTCGGCTCACATTCTGCTTCTGAGTCAGTATAATATCCAGGAAGGGAGAAAAAGTACGACTTCTCTTCCACATGCTCATTTCCTACAAAATTTTACTTTTTAGATATTTAACAAGAGGAATAAACAGCAAGTCTCATTATTTTATACATATTATGAAAAGAAATATAAAAATAGTTGCTAACGTATAAGAAATGTAATAAAAAAAATCACACCTAGTTCCTTGGGATACATACCTCCCACCTAATTAAATCGATGGTATTGCTAAAATATAACAAATAATCTAAAACTGTTACATTTACAAGAGAATAGAGTACTTACTTTTTAAAAAGATAAAACTCTTAAAAGACTTAGTTTACAATTCATTTATTATGAAGAAATATTTTAATATTGACACACAAATTAACTTCCTGATACTCGATATGGTCACTTCCATATGGCAATCCATATGGACAAGTTTGTCAGAACACTGAGGGATTTTTTATACTCATACTCACGTAATTTTGACACTAAATGATTCAGAACGGTTTCGAGAGGTAGTAGTGCTAGTATCTTCTATGAAGAATACGTCCCAGTTTACTTTTTTTAAGAGTTTTTCGTACTCGGAAACCTTTCAACTGTCCACCAAAGGGTTAATTTACATCTTTCTAATGTACAAAATATATCGTTGGGTCAATGTGCCTGTCGATTGTGTCGAAAAAAAGTTTTCCGTCAACTGATATTATGCTTCATAGTATTCGTAAGTGGTTACTTTCTCAATTGTAAAACTGTGTTTTTGATTATTTTTTCCATTCAAATAATAAATAGTAATTTACTCACACTATTTTCTTGTTTGGCCTCTGGTTCATTTCCAAAGTGGCTTAATTTTAAGATTTCCAACTGTTCATCTGTCACAGTTTCGTGCAGACTTTTGATAATATTTATTATTTTTTTCAGGTAAGTTGTTCCAGACATTTCCAAATACCTCGATTAATCATAGTCAAGTACAGCCTTCAGATCTATAAATGTCAAGCTTCGTTCTATCCGGTTTTTATTTTTCTTCCTATGATATGTCTCATAAATGTATGATATCATATTTGTTTGTTTACCAGCTCTATTAGCGGCTTGTTGTTCCTATAATTTATTTTGTGTCATTTCACATAATCTTTTTTCCAGTATCCTTGAATATACCTGAAGGTTTGTCATCGAAACTCTACTCGTATCATCCTAACCCTGTTTGAAGAGTTTTGGATGATATCGTGTCATTATATGCATGAAATTTCAGTTTTTTTACCGTATTTTCTAAATTTCTGTGAAAAAACTTTTACGTTTATAATATTCGATGTTTCGGAATAACTTTTTATCTGATTTTGATTTATTTCTCCCAGTTGTTACCATGGCGATGATAAAATGAATATAAATTTTGTTCTAAATATAAAAGCAAAATATCAATTTTTAAATATATTGTGTTGTATTTCAGTTAACGGCGGAAGACGAAGAAAGGCGAAGACGAAGAAGGGAACGTAACAAAATCGCTGCAACGAAATGCCGCTTGAAAAAAAGAGAGCGTACTGTTAACCTCATCCAGGAATCCGAGACCTTAGAATCACAAAACATTGAACTGAAAAGCCAAGTTCAGGAGTTACAGGCGGAAAAGCAATCGTTGATGAACATGTTGTCCCTCCACAGGCCGCAGTGTCAGCACAATATTGGTAAATATATTTATGTTATTAAATTATTTAGTTTTAACATCAATAACAACTTCAGATGCCTGTTGGTTCCCTCTTCTTCTTCTTATATATGATAAATAGACATGAATGTCTGTTTTTTAATGTGCCTCCAGTAAGTTGTCGTTCTATCGTTTTCGTGGTCTTTCTACTGATCGTCTTCCTATTGGGTAACCGTCTCTTGCCGTATTTACTATTCTATTTGTTGTCATTTGGCTTATATGATCGTTCCATTCTACTCTTCTATTGTATCTACTCTTCTTACCCACTTCTTGATGTTCTCCATCTTGCATCTACGTCGATATTTGTACTTCTAGCTCTGCCCATAGTACCTTAACATTAATTTTTATAAGTGTTTTCATCTCTACTGTTTCTAACATCCTTTTTGTCCTCTCTGTGTCAGGTCATGTTTCTGCCGCGTGTGTCATTATTGGTCTGATGACTGTTTCGTAAATTCTGCCTTTTATTTCTTTCCCTGTATTTTTATTTCTCCATATTATTTCATTCAGGCAGACCTATTTACTTGATCTTCCAGTTCATTTTCGAGCTTTTCGTGGCTAGATAATGTGATGCCTCGATATTTGAACTCCATCACTTGTTCTATTATCTGACTTTCCAGCTCCAATTTACATCTTAGTAAATTTGCTGTTGTAACCATGCATTTTGTCTTTTTTGGGGAAATTAACATGTTAAATTTTCTGGCGGTTATTATCTTCATCTTCACTTTGAGAGAGTAGTATTGCGTCGTCTGCATATCAGAGTATTTTAAGTTATTTTTCTCCCATTTGGTATCTTTTTTTAGTTCTTACTTTTTTTATTATTTCATCCATAATCAGGTTGACAATAGAGGTCTCAGGGAATCTTCCTGTCTTATCCCATTGCCAGCTTCAATAGGGTCGGTTAGTTCTTCTTTTACTTTTACTTCGATTTATTCGTTATTACTTTGGTTGTTAATTTTAGTGTTACGTTTAATAAATTAATTCCTCTGTAATTTTCCGTTTCCGATTTGTCTCCCTTTTTGAAGAGAGGTGCTTGATCTCCATTCTTGAGGAATTCTGTTTTATTCTATTATTTTTTGGATTAGTTTTAATAGTTTTTTAGTCAGATCTGGCCCTCAGTACTTTAGGAATTCGCTTGGTATTCTGTCCTCTACTGTTGATTTTCTATTTTTTAATTTCCTTAAAGCTTTCTGTACCTCTTTCTCCTCAATATTTCTTTCTTTGTTTGTTGTCACCTCAGGTGTTGGTGGTTAATTCTCGTCGCCCTTAGCAAATAGGGATGGAAAGTAGTCTACCAATGTTTCCTTCTGAATATGTCTGTTGGTTTCCATGCAATATAATCAATTATTTCCTTTGTAGTATCTTCTAATTACATGTTCTATCTACTACTTCTTTTATTTTCTTTTTTGTATATCTTTTCGATTTGGTCCTTGCCAAGAGCTAAGAAGACCTGATTGATGTATGCAACTGCTTGAAAATGGGAGTAACAGGTTTGGTCTGGAGTTACCAAACTAACTTAAAATTAAAAATCATTATAATGGATAGGCAACACAACAATCATCTACGTAGAACACAGGGACACTCAAGAAGGAGATAAGATGTAGATGTGATGTAGCCAATATCGCTATGGGGAAGATGACTAAAATATAGAAAGAGCCCAATATTTCAAAAGCCTTAAAAATGGGATTGGTCATCTTCTTACTTAATATTTTCAGTACTGACGTATGGATGTCAATTTTGGACACTAATGCAATTATAACGAAGAAATATAGGCACTACTGAAATGTTCTGCTGGAGAAGAATGTTGCGAATTCCATGAACCGACCATAGAACAAATAAATTATATTCTGAAATAACCAAAGATTAGTAAAAGACTGATATGGGAAAATCAAACTATATTAATTAAAATATTTTGAACATGTCATTGTTAAAGCAGAATGAAGAAGGCATCTACGTAATTTACCATCCTATGTTGTAAATAAGTTAATGAGTTAAGTTTTGTAGTTTAGACAAGAAATATGTCAATTTTGATGGAAATAAAATAACAATAAGTCACAGTCATTATTTTAATTACAAGGAAGTTTTTTCTAGTTAGACGATCTGATATTATTAACAGTTTTAACAGTCATTAGGTTTGACATCGATTATATAAAGAGACTTATCATTCAAGGGAAGGTAGAAACCCGAAGACCATGAGGAAGATCTTCAACAAGATGGATTAACCAGATCACAAGTTGCAAAAAACCTATACACAATGTACTAGAAATCACCAGAAACAGAATACAATGAAGACGAACATATATACGATATCACGACGACCACTACACACGCTCTAGGAATTAAGACTAAAGAGAGAGTTTCTTTTTAATCTTCTTGGTTTTTTTTTTGAGGTTAACTTGAATGCTGTAGCAACAGAATTCAAATTAGAAACTATGTTCTCACTAAGATGTCTTCAATTATAATTAAGGTATAATATCAACTTTCTAGTTTCTGATATTTCTTTCTTTATTCTAAGAGACTTCAGATATATAGTTTCCATTCCCATTCACCATCATTAAAAGTCTTCGATTACTGTAACTGATTTATATAGATTTTAATTTTTGACAACTGTAATAACTTGGGATTTTTGTTTAGGTCCAGTGACACGAGATCATATCTACAGGCTTCCCCCAGTAAACACGGTCATGGAAACGCACTCATACAGCAGACCCTCTTCTGTAGATCACACCATATACAGAACACAAAACCTCGATTTCTGTACGCGGCCCACCAGTGTTGGGTTAGTGAATCACCTCACTTACTCAAAACCTAATTATAATAAACCGCCCAGTATAATAGTAGAAGAGATAAACGAAAATTACGAACTAACTCAGTTCACTAACCTCGACAGTTACCCTTATAGTTCGTCCTATAGTAACTCAGGTATGGACAATGGTTGTATGGCGTGATTGTTAGGCTTAGTTACTCTAGTTAGGATCTTAGCTCTGTAGGTTTGAGGAAAAACTGAGAAGCAACTGACTTTTCTATGCATTCAACTGCAATTACTTTAAACAGTTTTTTTTAATGGGAATTTTAATATTTTAAATAAATGTCTGGCTAGTTTACAAAAAAATTATTCAATTAAAGTGATGTTATGCTTGTCAGTTATCTTTGTATTCGTATAGATTTTAAAATACTTCGTTTTTTATCATTTTTTACTTACCTATCTATTTATTTTAACGTTATATATATTTCTAACTGTTTATATTTGAGAAATATATTAAACTTGTATATAAAACGTTTACCAAATTTTTATTACGTACGAATAAGGAGATGAATACCTGATTTGACCAAATCAAAAATCCCGATTACGACTTTTTTTATCTTAATTTACATCTAGCAAATTTCAATGGTGCTTAATATTTTGAAGCAACCATTAAGTGTTGAAAACGGCTCTTGCCCTATTTTATTATTATCACAAACTAATTAACCTCTTGAAAAACTCTTTTATACTTATTTGTGATACCACAACAAATTTAAATTTATTTTTAGTCATCTATAGTTCTACTTACACATGTGCTTTTTTCTCCAAGATTTATAATGATTCTTCATATTTAAGTCTGGTTAGTTTATGTTAGTTCTTCTACTGGACAATTGTTCTTTATCTCTTCTTATAGTTTTATGTTCTTATTGATTCCGCTTCTCCCCATTTTATTGCTAATGAAGAATAGTTTCCATTTATTTTACCTTTATTTAAGCTTAGCATTTGTTTATCTAAATGACTTGGTTGTTTTATTTTTATTACTGATGCATATTTCGGTTTTTTAAACGTACACGCTCGTCTGGCTCGCTTAGCGGTCTCTTTATTATTGGAATTAATGTATGCTGATCATCTCAGTAATTTCCTGTTCATAAAATTTTATCCAGAATATTTTCATTAAACTTAGAAATTGCTAGTTCACCTTATGGAGTTTAATGGAAGCAAGTATTTGATTAGGGGGTATGTCTTCTGTTATCCAAAAACTCTAGTATCCGACCATTTTACATATTTTTTGACTTATTCACTGGTTACTTATGAAACAGCTGTAACAAAACCTAACTTACATACATCTTGAGTATCAGCAATTTGTTCTAGAATTTTTTAAAGTGAAGTTAAAGTTTAAATCCACAAAACTAAAATTTTAGATGACTACAACAAATAAAATAAGCGTAATATTCTTTTACAAATTTCATAATTTAAATGATCATCCGTTTAATACTAATGGTATATTTCATAACAAATAGCTATTTTGCCACAATATTTGCGTGTATGTTCAAAATTTCTCTCCTAAATTGTTTCCAATATACTTTTTTGTATTGATCCCAGTGATATTCTTATGGCCTTAAATCCAATTTATATCTTTACAATAACATTGAATATAGCTTTAAAAACCACGGTAGTTAGTAATGATTTGAAAAGAACATACCTGAGTTACATAGATTGATTTTTTAATGTAGGTATTATTTTTAATAATATTTTACCAGATTTTTAAAAATGTATAAATATAATGATAATCGGTATGAAACTCATAAACATTGAGGGTAAAATTGGTAGGTCACTAAAAATAAAACTAACAACTTAGTTGCTAAATTCAATGAAAATATCATAACCCCATCAAGTAATATTGATGTGCCTGAAGTAAAGTAGTATTATTTTTTGTTATATCTGTTAAGGTATTTAAAAAATATCCATTTATTATATTTTATTACTTTGTCGTTATACATAACACCACAACATTGTATATACTATTATTGAAAAAGTACTGCTAGTGAAAAAATTCCATCCATCTGTTGAGGATGTGCTAGTTCATATCACAAAGACTTATTCCTTTAATTATGACATATCCTGCGAATAATGTTAACAAATTCTAGTTCGAATAAAGCAATTGGCTTTAGAGATCTATTTTTGTCGTGAATATTCATTGATTTCTCATAGATTTTATAAATTTATATTTTTTACACTGGATTTCACTGTCATTATCATCAGAATTAAATATATTTTCATATAATTTTAATTTTATTAAAATTTCGCAGTATTAACTTTATATTTCTTTCTATTTCTTTATATTTATGTAATATTTCACTTTAACGTTTCGAACTCTACTCCGGAAATCGTTTCAAAATAACAAATTTTATTTTATAATTTTTTAAACGAGGACGTCTAGACTAGAGGACCAAATGCAAAAAATATGTCTTTTTAAAAACAGTCATTTTAGTATACTATACGTAGAAACATCATCTGTTTTTTTATTATTATTTTATTTTGTTTTTGTTGTGTATATTCTGGTTTTAGACCATCTTAATGCCTCTCAACAATAGGCAAAATGCCCTCCCATAATTCAATTGCGCAAGACTCAGCGCAATTTTAACTCGTCACCTACTCTACCCTTCACCAAAAACTTTTAGGTGAGATGAAATCAGTTTAATAATTTCAAAAAATTCACACGGATGGTTAAGGATTTTACAAAACATTTCTTTATTTTATAGACCCGTAGGTTAATTTTACATAACCTAAAAATGCATTGTTTTTTTTTTAAGCGTTTTTTGGAGATGACTGCAGGTCTAATTTTTTTATTTTGTGTATTTTATCTGATTTTTTTCGAGATATTTCCGTAAGGTGCACCACCTTTTATAAATTGGAAAAACTGGCTTTTTATGGGTTTTTCCACTTTTTCTAGACAGATCTAGTCAAAATAGATCAAATCAAGATTTATTGTAGCTTATATATCATGTGAAGTAACTGAGTCCTTTAGGACATTAAAAAATTGGGTAAAACATGTTCAACCCCCCCCAATAACCTTGTTTTTCTGGGTCTTTAAGGGTTTTTGCTGGGTTTATCATATTTTTTGAGATCTATACAACATCAATCATTTTTTTTTTCATTTTTTACGTTTTTTATCTGATTAAAAAACGTACTGGGCTAAAATGATTGTTTTTGATTAAAATATACAAAATAAAAAAAATAGCAACAATTTTCAAAAAATGTAAGCTTTTTTAAAAAAATGCATTTTTAGGTTATGTTGATTCAACCTGCGGGTCTATAAAAATAGATATGATTTATATTTGTATACAAGCCTCAACTATGCGTGTGAATTTTTTGAAAATTTTTAAATTGATTTCATCCCAACAAATAAAAAATAAATAAAAACGAAACAATGGCGTTTTTGGGGTGATGGGTTAAAACATAGACATGTAATACGAATGGACTTATCTCTGCAATACATTACCTTTCTCCAGTGCAACAGAGAAAACTGACGCAAAGAAGTCCCTGTACATTTTTCTAATGGACGGGCTTTATCGATGACGTGACCTTCCCATAGGCCATTTGGGTCACGTGGTTAAACAATCCGGTCCATTAGAAAGAGATGTAGGGATTGCTTTGTGTCAGTTCTCTGTCACATTTGAGAACGACGCTGTATTCGCGATTGAAACTTACAGTAGAGAGCAGGTCGACTGCAGTGTCATGGACAATATAAATGATATAAACAAACATATCAGTCGAATGTTTACCATTGCTTTTGCATGTTTAGTTTAGTTTATCGACGACGATTAAGACGACTTATTTTTATCATTTAAAAATGGAAATTGTTATTATTTAATTACTAACCTAGCAAAATTAAGTCACTGCTAAGAAAATGTAGACTGCAAACCGATCTTTAAAGCATCAGACCATTTTTTCTTTTAAAGTTTTTAAAGTTTTAAAGTTTAGGAAAGAGAAATAGGGAAATATCTTTTGTCAATCATGAATTGCATTGAGGAACAGAACAATATCGATTTGATTTAAAATACTTTAACGTCGTTATAATGCTGAAATTTACTAAAAAAATTAATAATTCTATTCAAATCAACAGCTTTCTGGTTTGTTTATACCACTTTTAGTAATTTAAATTTATTCCGCCAGAGGTCAGGTACTTTGTTTTCAATCGCGAATTGAAACGCTCAGTCAATTTGTATTATATGTCTGTGAGTTAAAATTGGTTGATTCTTATTTTTTAATCGCATAGAACGTAAAGAAATTTAAAAAAATGAATTCTGGGACTGAGGGCAATTTGCCTATCTTAACCGTTTCTTGCTAGCGTTGGGCCGTTCCGTAAACCTAATAAACTACCCAATTTGAAGTGAATTTTTAACCCTTTTGAGCTATGAAGCCAACGTTCCTATTTGTTGTAATTATTTTTCTTCTGAAGTGTAGTTTGGATTTGAAATAACTAGGAGCGATAAATTTAATTCTGTCGTTTTGTGAATATGATACGAATTGAGAAATCAATAGAAAAAGCCAATTGGTTAATGTTTAAAAAGATTGAGAGTTTTTTCGACTAAATTAGAAATTGTTAATATTGATTAGCGACTGCAAATGTTACTGACTTACCTTCCCGATTGTGACTAGATTATAAAGATTGTGAATATAATGTCCGATTTGACTTACTCCTCTTCTATTTTTATACTGTCTTAGGTTTAGTTACTATTTAGAGTATTCACATCATTGTTATATTTTACATGTTACCAGATCTGAAGTGAATTCTATAGTGATGTTAAGATTTTTATAAATATATAATTGTTTTGTTACTATTACGAATGTACCGGATGTCCCAGTCGGAAATTGTACAACATTTTTCGAAGACATGAAGACAAACGGATTAGTGGTCTACAAAATAAATACCTCTTCCTAGTATCACCTATTTTATCTATTTTGTGCTGTTATCTTATGAATTCAGGTTACTATATTATACATAATGTATGACACAATAATTGGATACGTTTCTATTTTTTGGTGCTACTGCCACATATATGTAATAATAATGAAAAAATATTGCATCCCTGTTGGTTCTTTACCATTGTGAACTAGTTGGGACTGAAAGTTACTCTGCTGCTTGTATATAAAGTTTAAATCGATTGTATTCCCAGCTGTTACTGATCTTAGTCTTCTAGA